AAAAAGTGGTTGGTTACACCAATACTATTTGAGGTACAATTACAACAATGTCCATGTGTTATGCAGATCATTGTTGTAGCTCAAAGGTTTCATAGATAGGTGTGACTGATGATTACTATTCTCCTTTGGTAGCCTGCATAGCACAGGTTTTTTAAACCTACAGGTCTGGTTGAAAAAAAATAATCTAACAACACTGGAGAAAGTGTCCTATTGATTTTTCTTCAATTGTTTGAAGAAAATGAAAAGTAGCCAGTAGGGATTAAACATTTAGGTCATTACCAACTTGAATCTGCCATGTTCTATCACTCAAGTATGGGTAACTTCAACAGTAGGGTTAATGAAAATAAAAGGCCAAATGTTGTAACATTATGATTTTTTCATGTTACATCAATTAATTTTAATTCATCTTACATTTGTTCAATATGGTAAATAAATATATTATAAGCTTGTATTTTTAAGGTACTTCAATTTTTCACTAGTAAAATTTATTAGAATATTATGATTTTTTGCTATTATATAAATTAATTTTGATTCATTTTACATTTGTTCGCTGTTAAATAAATGTTTTATGTGCTTATATTCTTTGCCTTATATGGTTTAAGTGTTTATTTATATTTTATTTAATTTTTAAATTTTTAGGAATGAAAACACAATCACATCCTTTGCTTTTCTATTTCCTTCCCTTCCACATCGTCTCCTCCTGTATGCCTCTCAAATTTATATTCACTTTCCTTAATCATCATATACACACACACACGCACGCACGCACGCACGCACGCACGCACGCACGCACGCACGCAGGCACAAATATATAAATACAATCTTCCCAGCCCATTTCGTGTTGCTTGTATATGTATTTGATTTCAGAGTTGACCACTCGATATTGGTAACCAGTTAAAAGGGTCATCCCTGGAAAAGACTAATTCTTTAGCAGTCTGTAGTTCTTTGTTTAGGGGTGGAACCCTATGAGATTTCCCCATTCAAGTTAACATATTGACTGGTATTGTCATTATTCAGTTGAGTGAAGCTTCCCTTTCATTTCTGGTTCCTGCAATCTTTCCTCTTCCTCTTAATGATGCTCCCTGAGCCTTAGGCCCAGGAGTTTTATATGTGTGTATCTTGGGGCTAGAAACCCCACAATCACTTGTTCTCTGACGTTGAGTGGTTGTGATTTTCTGCAATGGTCTCTCTCTGTTGCAAAGAGAAGCTTTTTTTGGTGAGGGGTGAGAGCTACACTTTTTTGTAGGAAGTGGAATTCACTTAGGAATTGTACTGATTTAGTCAAGTGGTGGTACTGCATTCTCCTCTATGATGCATGAACTCACTAGCCCCAGCTAATTTCCTAGCTTTCAAGTACCTGGCAGGATTTCCGTGCTGTTGAGAAGGCCTAAGTCTAATTAGAGAGCTTTTGGTGCGGTTTCAGCAGGAACGGTGGAACGTACGTATTGGGGAGTTCTGATGACGAATTTTTAGACAATAACAGATTCTTGAGCTGAGCCATGAGTGTGGTTGGAAATTGAAAGTGAACCGGAAGGGAAGTACGCATTTCTGTTCGCAGAAGTCCAGTGGCTTCCAAAACAGATGAAATGTGGTCTGAGGGATGGTGTGACTACAAGCCACTTCCAGGAAAACAAGCACAGGGATGGTATGAGTACAAGCGACTTCCAGGAAAACAAGCGGTGGGATGGTGTGACTACAAAAGACTTCCAGGAAAACAAGGGCCTCCTTGGAACCATCCCAGTGATGGAAACCATAGACTAATTAATGTGCCAAAGAGACCGCCTCTGGGAGACAAGAGATCATCTCTGCTAGCCGGACCCAACGAAGCAGGCTACAGTAAATATTACTGGCACTTTGATTGCCAAGAATGGGACGAGGGCCGCTGTTTTACTCAGGATCCAAGAAGAGCCCCACCCTACAAAAGAGGCCATTATGGCTACCGATGGTCAAGAGATGAGTATTCCACAAGCCAACAGCCTCAATACAGGGCCATGAGAAACGGCTTTAGAAGAAAACGTTTCTATTCTTCCCATTATTCAAGACAACGCTCTCCCCATAAACGGGCGGCTCCTTTTTTGAGAGAATCACGTGTGGGCGGGAAGGACTCCCTACACAGCAGATTTGGATCCAGTCTCAGCAGTAGAAGCAGGATGCGCTCCTTCCATCAGTCTCGACATAGATGTAAAGAGAGAGCCATCCAGTTTTTGAAAACATCAAGAGATACTGTGCCCTCAAGTTCTTCATCCAAGGTGTTAAAAAGCCCCAGCCGGCTGACTGAGAAGGAACAGGCTGATGCTGCAAGCAAGAGGGCTAATGAAAATCCCAAGCAGTCAGAAGAAAATAACTTGGATGAAATTTCCGAGTTTGAGATGGGATCCAAGGAACCATTATGTATCAACCAGACAGAAGAACCCGAGTCAAACACAACAGCTGGCCCAGAATTGTGTGAAGACAGCCAGCTTAGCATTCGCTCAAAAGCGATTGCATCAAAAATCACTGAGATTGAGAAGGTTTACCGACAAGTCTGTGAAACTTTCGGGATGG